CTTTATTACTTATTTTATCTATGTAACGCTATCCGATTTACATTAATATAGTAATCTATGATAAAAATCGATTCAAACATTCGTAAAGCACGTATGTGATCGTTAAGACATACTCCAGCACGTTTACAAAATTATGATCTCCTAAATGGGTTCTTTCGGCGTAACCAAATTTAAAAGCTTCCATCTAATCGATGAGCGTCCAAACCTGCATTTGGTGCTGGTAATAAACCATCCAACAAGGGATATGTAGGCTAATATTACCAGAACAGGTGTGGTCGCGTGTATTATATGTCCATTTTCAAATTACAGAAAATGATTCTTCGACCTCGACTCTGAAAATGTTTATTTTAGCTTAATTTGTAAATATTCACGTAAATTTAAAATTTAATCTATTCCATAAGTATTGAAACTTTTATTCTTTTATTTATACAATTAAATTTAATTTGTATAATTAAAAATATAATATCATTGACTGTTTTCAATTATTTAAATTAATATTACAAATTGATATTAATTAGGCACGAAGTTATTAAGATATAATATATTCACTCGTAGTTGACTAAATTTCTTCTGTGATTATCCCATTTGCTCTTTTAAGTCTTTAATAAGTTTTCCGTTAACGAACCGTTGTAAAGGCATCACTACCTTCTTTTGCTAAGATTTTCTATAGTTTCTGCAACTCAGAAACGTGTATATTTCCCTTATCTTTACTTGTCCAGTTTCTGTTGAGTAATGCTTTTCTAAAACATTTTTGCACTAAATTAACTATGTATTTCATAATAATAATAATAATAATAATAAAATTGTTATTACGGAATAAATTCAATTACCTTTTAAAAATACAAGGTAGTTACATGAGTATTTAGGTAGAAAGAAAAAGTAAGTAAGTATTTTATATCTAATAGTAAAAATTAATTATTAATTTCTGAGTAATTATATCAAGGAATGAAACATTAATAAATATCATCATATCTATCAGTTCATCGAAAATACATAATTTCATAAATCTTATTTAATTATAAAAAGATCAAAGGTTTTACTGAATATATGATATCAGTTTATCTTTTTTTATTATTATTTTTGGTGAGTTAATTTTATCTTATTTAAATATTTAAACTTATAAAATTGATAAAAATCTACATATGTCATGGCTAATAAATCGTTATATAGATTTTCTAAAAAGTACATAAAAATAATTTTGGCTTTCATTGTACCTGAGCATTAGGTCTTTTGATCAATTCTTCTTCATATTTAAAGTTATTCCTAAGATTTACTGATTGTCATGACCTTCTCGCATAACTTTATAGTTGGTCAAACAGTGATGGTGTGAACATTTCCACCGTATAAACTATAGATGTCGAAATCCTTTAAGTTCTCCTGATGCAATCCAACCACCTATATTTTTAAATTAAAATGTATAGTATCACTCAATTTGAAATATGTTTAAATATATACATAATTTAATTTTCATTTCATTAGAAACATTATGCACTGAAAATATAATAGTGAATAAAATTGATATTTATTTTCATATTGATTATCAATTGAAATATTTATTTAAATATAGATAAATTTTTCTTGTTTATGTGTTTCACAGAAAGTTTAGGTGTTCTACAAACATGGAGTCTGTTGCAGCTAATGGCGCTGTTTCACGAGCATTGATTGACATTACTTTTTTGGTTGTGGCATTGTATATACTCATTAAAAATCCTCCACCCAAACCCATAAAGTGAGGACATAGAGCACCGTCACATATAATTGTAGCTATAGCAGCATCAACGGCATTTCCACCTTTGGCCATCACGTCCCTTTTACAAAACAATTAATTTTAGAGTTTATGATACAAAATAATAATTTCAGACAAATTTAAAGTATGAAATATCAGTATATTACGCAAAAACAGATCTATATTTGAAATATTCGAATGGTTTATTAGGTTATTGTTATAGTTAAAACCTGAAATTGTTAAAAATCTCATGGGTATAATTCGCTATTAAGTTTTTAATGTTTCAAATAATAATAACGTAACGATATAAGTAGGTACTATGCGTATTTTAACGATCATCAACTTATATTAATTGTTAAGTGATTAAAAATAATACAGGTGTTTAATTGGTTAATTTTGAAAAAGTAGTCATTTTAGTGTTTATATAATATTATTGAATATCTTCGAATAATCTTTTGGTAACGACTAACGTTTAGATCAAGTGAACTTTAAGATTGGATCGTTATATACTTTTAGTTACTGAAGAAAATTAATTTTATAATATATAGTAAAAATATACTATAATAAAATATAAAATACATAATGAAAATAGTACTAAGTTAATTAAATAATTAATTGTTCTTACATAAATTTATAATATAAGATAACATTTGTTAGTTTTCTTTCATAGTATGCAAATCATAATTAATACGAAAAAATATGGATTGTATGTCAAATATGGTTGAAGACACTGCGCTAATAAATTTAATAATCACATTAGTTATATCTATACATTATAACATTACATTCCGATTTGTGCGCACGGTCCACCGTTTGACACTACTCCGGCTTTCTTGTACAAACCCATCGGCATACTTGATGGTGGCAATTCAAATTCTGGATCAGGGATTTCATTTGTGACGTTATGTTGTGAGATAATTACCCACACCGAAACAATAGCAATCAATATCGATAACCCTAGCAGAACAAAGCAACCAATTGATTGTAATCTGAAAACAATAAAATATTAACGTTTCACACAAGTTATAAACTGTTGTTATATTATTAAAATTATTCGGAACATACATTAAAATATTTTCTATTTACGAAATTTGACACAAAGTTTAATGATGCCATGAATTTTACGAATAATACGAGTATGCCTATATGATTTTAGTTTTTAAAATCAGTAAAATGATTATTTTAAAGTATGAAATAATTTTATTATAATTAAAACGGAATAAATTATGGAATTGGATTCATGTACACTATACTAACAGCAATTAAATAAATATTTGTTTTTCCACCAATAGATTTATGTAATAACGATGGTTTTTTTTTTATAAGAAATTGTCTATATTTTTTTAAATAAGATACATCTACACTGCTAAACAATATTTTTAGTGTAAGTAACACAAGTGTCAAAAAGTATAGATATATAGCGATTTTTAGCAGAAAGTTAAATAAATTGTAAGCAGGAATATCCCTCTAAATCTCATTTTTTCCCATATAACACAAAATAACTATGATTTTCAAAACAAATAACATAATGTATGTTTACAGCAATTTTCAGCAGGGAAATTTTAAAAGTTAAAGAAGGTAATTTTAGAGTTATTATAGTTTTGTATTACGCAGAAGAATTAATATCGTTAAGCAAGATATACTTGCTTTAACTTTTATAATCTCTCTGCTTAAAAGTGTTATGAATATACATTATGTTTTTTGAAAATCACTTTTTTTTTTTTTTTACACGGAAAAAATGAATTTGAGAAGAATATTCCTGTTTACACTTTTTTAATTTCCCTTCTAAAAAGTTCTCTGAACATGTACTATATACTATTAACGTTACACGTAAATTTCAAATTGCATTGAAGGTGTTAGGTACGTACCAAACAATAATAATTCTTGAGGTAATTAGACAATACAAACTTAAATAGACAGAACGTACCTAGAAATAATCATGCTGTCAACGAAGAGGTCTGTCTTCCAAGTTTTTTTCAAAAAGCTAAAAAAATAATGAGTGTTTTTAAATTTATTGTATTATTTTGACCATTTTGTCAAACCAATTTATACTTAATATACGTATTATCATCAGCGCAACCAAGAATAAACTGAATACGAAATTATTTGTTTTTATTATTTTATAACAAACTAATAAAGTATAAAAATGTTGTATAGATTAAATATATATATATGATTTGGTATATATAATACTACATGGATTAATTATTCACTTGTGTGTCATGAAACTCACATTCACTAATTATGTGATGGATAATACCAATTTGAAACGTTATAGATAGTGAAGATTGGAATGATAATAATTTTAGACTTAATCATAGTGTGTAAAAATACGATTCTAGTTACATACACCATTAGTTTTAAACTTTTAAAACACGTCTTCAAATTATTTTAGTATATATTATTTTTCTACGAAAACATTTGAAGAGTTTTAAATCTATGAAAAGGACAATATTATGAAGACTATCCAGTTTTATCATTTAAAAAAAAAAAAGGATACAATATTTATTATCACCTTTTTTCTTGTCGTGCATAATTATATTCTATTTTGATATAAGTAATCAAAAGCGTATTATTGCAATAAGTTGCTTGTTTTCAAATTTTCAATTCATATATCATTTTAAATGGATTTTAGAGGCTAAAGAGTGGGCTAAACCACCCTAGCGCCCCCTATATTTATGTCTATGTATCTCACGTAGTTATTATATTAAAGTAAAAACTAGTAGTTGTTTTTATAATTAAAAAGTCCGTTAAAATACCTGAAGTATTAGAGTACGACAGTGAACCTTTTTTAGTTTAAGTAAAGCAAAGCGAAAATTAAAGATTAAAAACTCATCATCATATAGTACAAAAATAATTCACATATCACAATCAATTAGTAATTAATTTAAGAACCTTAGATCTGAAAATTATAATTATAGGTAATCAAAAATTGTTGAAAAACTTAAAAATTATGTATTATCATGGTGATACTTTTTTTGGTATGAAATTTTTACTACGAAAGTACTGATATTAAAATAGGATAATAGATGAAAATTTTTTTTTTTTAGTATCATAATTATTATTTCAAAACTCATTATATCCAGTTATTTGTAATTTCACATAGTTAACTTTTGTATAATTACGATAATAGATAATTAGTATCAACACAAATAGTGGATTAACGTATAAATAAAATATGAGGATTTAAGTCATGATACTAAATATATCACGAACAAAATGATAAGTTATTTGTACATTTGTCAAATTAAATAATAATAAAATAAACTTACTAAGTCACACGTATTATAAAATTCAGTCGTTTATTTTACAGGCTTTAATTTAATAATGAAAAAACATGGTAACTTCACTATTTTTTTTTTTAGCGTATTGGTAAAACAAATATTATAAGTTGAAAAACGATAGAAATAAATGAAAACGATGTCGAAACTCTAACAAAAAAAATACTTGGTTTAGTTCAATTGAATGACTTATAATAATAAGATAAACACTGATGTTTCTGAGATGATGAGTAAACGTTAAGTAAATATTATTTTTTAAGAACAGATCAATTGAAAATGTTAACCAAAGATGATCGGTAAGTATATAATACATAACATACCTACTTATGTATATATTAATATATCTTTAATTCTTATTAACATTGCTAAATTGAATATTAAACATTGCAAAAACATTTTTGGTATGAAAAAACCTGTTGAAAACTTAACCTATAGACGATTGGTCAAAAACTCACACAAACATAATAAAAAAAAAAATTATAATAAAATTATCATAAAAATATGTCTAATAAATTTCATATAAGTCAATTGTGAGTATAAATACTTAAATTTATTAATAATTAGTTCCTTAAACAAGTTAAAATATTTAAATTTATTTTTTATTAACTTTAACTTATCAAAAAATTATTTTATACTGCAGGTTAAATTTCTAAGTATTATCTTATTAAATATTAATTGAATTAAATTAAAAATTGATTCAAATCATACTGCAAGGAAGTCTCATCATTAGAGAAATGGATTGGCATGAATATTTCATATTCGAAATCTCTGTTGTAAATGTGATTGAAAATGGTTATACTAGCCATTATTAAAGGCCGATATGTTTGCTTTAGAATCTAAACGATTTACATCTATTTGGATGAATTAAAAATAATTACTAGGACTCGGAATTTTATAACTTTAAAAACATTAAAATAATGACCTAAAAATATTAAAAAATGACCTAAAAATTTCAAATATGACAAATGACAAAAAAAGACCTAAAAATTTATAAGTCTTATAAGTTATAATATAAGTCATGAAAATATTATAGGCCGATTTGAAAAACAAAAAAACCAAAAATAGACTTTTATATTGTAATACTACATGAAATAAATTTTTAAATTCAACAAACTATTTTTTTTTAATGACTACTATTTTTAAGAGTAGTATTTGATGTGAAAAATATTTTACGTGAGTGAAATTTTGGCACTAGAACTTGTCTTATAGATCTTTAATAGCCACAACACCAATTTTTCATTTTTAAATATTTCCTACGATGTCTATTTTTTTTTTAGTTTATTTATATATTAAAATACAAACCAACCTGTTTCTGTAATGTATTACACAGCAGCGTACTCAAAAACAGGTATTAAGTAGGTTTGATTTAACATATTAGGGAAAAAATAATTGGCCAAAAAGCAATAAAAAAAAAATTAAACGCATTTTTTTCAAAGTATCTTATATACATTGTATACATTACATTGTACCTCTTATCTATAAAAAATATCACAATCTTTTATTTAATGTAGATTAGGTTTATATAACTATAATATAAATAATAAATTTATATGTGATAACTGTAGGAAGAATACAGTTGGTCATTTTTTTCTATAAATTATCGACAATATATAGTATTATATAATATATTATTTTTTATACTTTAAATATGAACATTACGTCCAGATATTTTATCATAGTAAATACATAATATTTTATTAACCAAATAATAAACAGTAAATTTAAATTTGTCAATTTTCCTACGTCACCTCTGCAAAATGTACCTTGGGCCATATGAGCCGATAAATTTACTGGCACTTGCATATCGGTATCGTGAATATTATGAATGCATTTTTTTAGAAAATTAACAATATACTATGGAACTAAGTTTGTTAGTGTTTAACATTTTTAAAAGTTATTTACCTATATAATAGTAATTATAATATTTTATTCCGATATAAATAAGCGTTTAATTAAGTTTAAACTTTAAAATGTAATCATATTTATCGCGATAAAAATATTGATAATATTAAAATATTAATCATTTTTATAATTACATTCTTAATTAAATTATTTATAGTAACCCTTATCGAATAATAAAATTAGGTTTCCGTAATAAAAGGATTATGTTCTAGGATATTTAAATAATAATTACACGTAATAAAACGTATAAATATATGTAATAAGAACAAAAAATTCTGCAGTTTCGTCAAGTTTATGAGATAAACTAATCTAACCTAATCCAGAGCTTAAAATTTTTTATTCAAAAATTTGTTACGAACGGTATAAATATCGGTTTTTCATTGTCTTAGTACCATATCTGAAATCAAAACTTAGAGTTTAAAAATCATTTATTTATTGAAAAAATATTCCACTAAAATAATATATAAATACCATTAAAGATGTGTCAATTTATTTTATCAAAAATTTACGTTATTATTTATTTAATTTATAAATCTACCTGTTGTGTCTCATTCTTACAATTTTTAATATTTACTTTCTCCGATAGAGTTTACAATAAAATAATTATTAAGCTAACAAAAGATTTTAAATACTAGCTAAACAAAAAATAAAAATGAATTGAATTAAAATTATTTGGAAAATGTATTTTAAGTTTTGAGGTAAAAATACGAAAATATAAAATTTTGTATACAATTTTTACAGTTTTTATGAAACACAAAATGTTTTTAAATATTTGAAAATATTTAACTTGAAATACTGTCAAAAATGTCTACATAATATTATTAATATTTTATATTTTAAGTAAGTTATTCAGTAAAATTATACAAGTCATCGATAAACGAATGAATTATCAAATAGAGATATTTCAAACTTTAAACATCCATTTTTAATTTTTATCATATCGCATAAAATATAAAAATAAATTTAAGTAATTTAGACTAAAGACAGGTTCAGATTATTACTTCTACTTTAAAAGCCAAAAATCGGCAATAGTAAAGTTAGTGACACATGTAAAAAAAATTTTCAATAAATCTTATTGTGATCTGTAACTTAACATAAATAAGCTAAATTAAAAAACATTTTCAATAATTGATCTTCATCGCAACAAGCGGTCACGGAATTAATACTTTCAAAAAATAAACTTAGTTCAAAAATTTTAAACTTTAAATTTATTTAAATTCCCTGTTTCTAATTGAGAGTATTCTGTGTCAATTAAATTTGACAATGGGTCGTGAAAATTTACTATATTTCCGTATCCTACATCGGGTTCGACAGATGCATTTTTAGTTGACTAATTAATTGGCGCACTAAAAAGACGGCTACGTCTTTTCCGACATTCGGATATCTCATACTTTTTTGTGTACCGCTTTGTAAACCGGCCAGGACTTTTCGTACCTAGTTACATATTTATTTATTGTAATAGGTATTATCTAGTGTTTTTAGTCAATTGTATTATGTACTCACTTATCAAAATAAAAGTGATTTTCCAGTTTACATGTACAAAAATACAGCCAACTTTATTTATTAAACCGATTTAATTTGGTTGAACTACTTATTCGAGCGGTCTTAAAATAAAAATGGTTTATGTCATTTTAAAGCATTTACATGATGCATGATTAAACCGCTTTAGTTTTTAAACTGACTTAAATTGGTGCATGTAAACGTAGTAATTATTATGTACGGTAAATGACATTCAAGGATGATGTATACTCATGTATAACAGTAGACTTTATACTCCATGTCATGAAAAGTGTAATTACGATAAAATTAATACCGTATTACTCACCAAACAATCCCTGGGCATACACCAAATATAAATTAAACAATATTTATTTTATTTTCATAAAAGTTTATTTTGATTATCGATAGTTACATTTCTGTGAGTATCAATTAATTATTCATATTAAGCATAATAACAGCCACTCGACATCTCGCATTGGTGTTGGTGGAAGTGATCCATAAAATGCTCGACTTTTGAAAGGTAGGTAATTACGGTACGCTTCTTTGGAGTTATTTCTATTAAAGTAGAATGCTGAAGACAAATAATTTACAAGATAAATTTACATATAAAATTATATAACAATTTAATGGTGTGCGCTTATTTCGACTTACATTAATCGAAATTTATGATGGAATAACTCGTATGCTCTATTCCATTGTTCTGACAAATTTAAACAGGTAAAATATGATTAATATATTCTAATAATATTATGTAAAAATAGTTTTTATTTAATATTAAAATGATTAATTATAGATTATTTTTTCATCATCGATTATGAAAATAGAATACACTTTACGACTTACTTTGAATGAATTGAAATACAATAGTTTGCAATTCTGATTGCAGTTGATTTTTATGGTTTCTTTTTTATAAGTCCTTATTTTGTTTTATTTTCCAATCAAAATGCACAAGTATATTAATGTCAATCAGTTTATATAAGAACATTATTTTATATCGACGCCTAATAATAATAATGTACATACTTCGTTTGTGTTTAGGATTTCCAGCATAAAATATTCGGTAACACCTTTATCCTCGATTCCAAGATTTTGTCCACAAAAATATTCGTTGGACTAATTTATGATTGACTATTATAGCTAGGACCACACCAAGGTAGTAATGTAACAATAAAATTTACGGGTTGTAACCAATGAGCAATTTTGAAAAAATCATCAACAATGAAAATTATCTTATTAATTATTATACATATTATATATTCTCGCGTTGTTCTTCGCTAACTGAACTTTTTCCAGGTCAATATTGATTGCTATAACTAAATCGTACAAAGATTTTAATAATTATTATTAAATTATTAATTTTTCAGAAAAATGCGTAATATTGTACTTCGAAAAGAAAAAAAAACAATAAATTTAACATTAAGAAAATAATAATTTATTATTATAGTACCCGAATCGCAAACTTTGGCAAGCTGAATTATATTTCCACCAGCTCCACAAAATGGGTCTATAACTTTCTTCATCCCCACATATTGGTTTACGATATGCTTACTAATGATTTCTGGGCAAACCGAGTAACAACTTTCTGTAAAAAATATTACATACAATTATTATGATCATGTATA